TATTACAGTGTATTAGAATATGTTAATTTGTCAGGTTTTTTAAAATGAGAATAATAACAGAATGTTACTGGGTTGCAGATAAGTATAACTTTTTGCCAATCTGGCTCATATTGCCTCCAATAGATTGGGACTGCTGTAAATTAATTACAGTTTTCAATGCAAGATGTAAAGTTCTGTTTTTTTTTGTTTTTTTTTGTTTTGGCCTTTGTCCATTTTGAAAATATCTGAAGTATTAATTTTGTATTGCTGATTTACATGTACAAAAAAAAAAAAAAACCAAAAAAAAATCCAAAAAAAAAAGGAAATGACATGATCTGAAAAATAGGAAAATGGGAAAACAGTGGATTAGATCTGCAGCATATTAAATTGTATTGATTCAGACTCCTTGGCTCTTTACCTACTGCACTACCTGTGCCATCTTGAAAGTTAAACATGACAGGGCATCAAAGTGAGAGCGGTGCAGTGACCTTGCAATGATAGAGACATGTACTGATGTTAAAAAAGGTCAATGACTATCATTGCAAGGTATAGTACCTTCTGTTAGTAAATGTTCTTGCTTCGATACGCAGACACAGCTACTGTAATCAACCTTATGTAATCCAAAACTTGCTTATTAATATCATCTTGAATCTAGGTTTGAAGATGTGAAAGATAAAATTCAAGGTATGTATTCACATACAGTGATAGTATTTAATATTACTGTATTTGTATGCTGTAATTAGGAGCACTAACATTACCTTTTCTCCTAATGGTCAATCATGGACTCTTCATCTATTCCACTTTTTCTGGTGATCCTGCACCCAGTCTTAACAGCCACCTGGTTGACTCATTTGTTAAGGGTCTAAAAAGATATAACTAGCTAAAAACTAGTGTGACCTTGTTCATTTGTTAAGGGTCTGTTGTGCAAGAGGTCATGGTTCAAGCCTCTGCTACCACTCAGGGTCTATAATACTGAGGAGAAAATGCTGCCTTAATTACAACTGCAAATGGTTAGACCTTCACATGACTCAGATGACCACGTTAATGGTGGTCCTGTCCCTACTCAACTAGAGAAACAAGTTTTTCAATTGAATTACTGTCAAGTTTCATCCTCTATAAACAATGTTGATTGGTTTGTCTATTTATTTAGTGTTGAATACATGAGTCCTTCCTTAATGTCATTTACTCAGATCACTATAATAAAGTGGAGGCAAATCTTATCCGCCAGTTCAAGCATGCACACCATGAAGGCAATGTAGAGAAGATGAGAGCTTATGCAGAGACCCTATTGCCATTCAAGGTAGCATGTTTTCTTATATACTTCTCTTTAGCAATTTTTGTACATCTTGACCATTTGGTGCTTATGTCAGGATATTTGACTTCATTGATTCTTAGGGATATTCTCAGTGCATTGATACCTTCATTGATCAATGTCAGAAGGGTCAGTTTCACTCTGCTGATGTCTTCCAAGCCGCTATTCCATTATGTGAGAATGTACACACTCTGATTAAAGATGTCTTTGGACACAATGCTGAAGCTGTGATGGGTAAACTAGTGCAAAATATCCATGAAGGGGTTTTCCAAGTAAGAAAATTATCTGCATTATTAATAACTATGATTATAATGTAACCTAAATCCTCGCATTAATTGAGTTTTACCAATTAAGTCTTTATCATAGTCAAGAGATGATTTGTGTAATTCTCTTTCTTGCAGAAACATGTGCAGTCTAAGTTGGTAAACTTTGGTTTTGACAAAGAGCAATCACTGAAAAACCTTTTCACACTCTATGTCAAGTAAGACATTTATTTGTGATTTTATAGGCAATAGCATGACATAACGGTGATTTGCCATAAATATCCACACAGCAATGGAGTAAAGTTACATAAAGTAATCAATACATCAATAATACCCCTCCCCCTTAAAAAAGAAACTAAGAAGAAATCAAAGAAAGGAAGGAAGGAAGGAAGGAAGGAAGGAAGGAAGGAAGGAAGGAAGGAAAGAAAGAAAGAAACAAAAATTGTATTGTGTTTTTTACAAGTTTAGTGTAATAACTGTTTTAGGTTAGTAGCCATCCATGATAGTTTAGTGAAGGGGTGCTAGAGGGAATGGGGTCTGGTCCCTTCTTTTTTCAAAGCGATGCTGTATTATTTGTATTTTTCATAGTTGGAAGTATCAAGAACATGTATTCCATGTTAAAAATACTTTACTATACTGTGTTTCTATCTAAGGTCTTAATTATTATGGTCAAGGATCTTTTAAAAGTGTGAAGTTATGTGTCTGACTTATAGCTATGGTTTTGTTGCAGGGCCAAGGATACTAGTAAGAAGATGTCAGAGTACAAGCTTGGTTCCGACTCAAATTTTATTGAAAGGCTGCGCAAGAACTTGTTTAGTGAATATCTGAGTAGATATATCAGGTATGATAATGTCACGTGATTACATGCCTGCCACTATGGCATAACTCAATCGGTGTGCACGTTTGAGGTAAGTAAGTGTAAGGTAATGATAATGATTAGAATGATTGAAGTGTGTGTTCTTCGTTTAACAGCACAGAGATTGACCACCTGAAAGAAAAATCTACCTTGATCTTAGACAGATACTATAATTCAATAACCCATCAGAAGAAGGAAAGACCGACTGCAACAGGGTATGTTAGAACAGTTGAACCCCTACCACTGTCAGTTGAGCTTGTTAGGGATCTCACATTTTCCTAAAGCAACCCAGTTTCTTTTTCTAACTCTTGCTTTGGTAGTATGTATCTCTATTTTCAAAACATGAAATAGCTAAACAATCAAATAATGGGATGGAATTATAGCATCAAAATAACATTTGACTGGCCCTTGTTTAGCCTTCTCTTGACTCAAGAGCTCCAGAGGCGCATGCCCGTTCGATTGCAAGGTACACCTACAGAAGTAAGTAAAGAGACGTACCTTTCACAAGATGTAGCTGTCAGCCTTTTACAAGAAAACAAGACTGCACTGAAAAGATGTGAACTGGTAAGAACCTTCGACATCATTTGTAACACATAATTGAAAGAGGTTGTCGCAAGACCGAAGGGAATTTTGGGCATACCACTATAAGTTAACAAGAAAAATGAAGTGTTTAAGTTGGCAGAGTTGGCAGATATTCTTGGATCTTTGAATGACCTACATGTATTACGCCTTAGCAAGCTATGACCATTTTTTCGAAATAGATGTACATCAGTTTAGTTTAGCTTAGTTTTGTAATGAATTTTTTTCTAATTTTTTTTGAACATTATAGGTTTTAGATATACATACTTTCAGAGCATTTATTTTACTAGCTTTAGTCATAGATTTAATCATCTTTCACTTTCTTTCTTCATTCTTGCTAGTCTGTTTTCAGTTTGTCTGGTGATGACATTAATGACTACCTTGTGTGCTATCAGAATAACCCACAAAAATTGTATCTATAGAATCATATTGAATTCAATGTTTTTTATTGCCTTTAGTTATCTAATCCATCAGACCTGGCTTCGAATGCTTATGCTATCTACCAGAAGCTCTTGGATAATCTTTGTATTGATCATATCGACTATGCACTTGACCTGGCTTTACAAGGTAAGGAATAAGGTGCAGTCTATAAAACTGACACCAATGAGGTTCAGTACAAGACTACTAAAAGAGATGTTTAAAGGCACAGCTCTTTCAAATCGCTATTGCATGGCATTTTTCTTTATTCATCCGATCAGAGCACTTGCATTTTCCTCACATTAATGGCAAATTCTTGATTGTACATGTATTATGATGTGGTTTGATTGGGTTGGGCTCAGCGCATTTCAGAGCTACTAAAAATGCTCAAATATGGATAGAATTGTGACCTAATTTGCAGACAGCCCACTAGCCTCCACCGAGTTGCATCCTACTGTCAGCCCCTCAATCTCTTTCATTAGTAGCTTGCCAGTTTTCCGCGAGTTGTGACTTCAGTGCGCTATCCGGCAAACGTTATCATGTAAGAGAAGCGTATTTAAATTAAGTAATTTTGCGTTTTATCTCATAAAGAGTTGAACGACCCTTCGTTATCACTGATTATTCACAACTAATCTTATCCACCCACTACAGGGCAAAATATTTCCAAAAAGGATAAGGTATTTTCGTTATTGTATTTTAAACAGGCTTACCTCCACCTGATCCTCGTAGTGAGGTGGACACAGTGTACTTCGAAGTGGTTGATCAAGCCAATGGTATATTTCATCTACTGGAGAAACATTTCACAGACTGCATCATTCGCTTGGTGGGGTAAGATCCAACAACCAATGAAATAGCAGGAATGTCACTCTTAGTATTGACCTCAGTTGTATTATGCTACTGGGGATTGTAAGACTTAGTACTTAAGTTAAAGGATACCATAAACGTTCACGTGGGTAGGTGTAGTCTTTAGAATCCCGATAATGAAAGGATTATTTTATTCCCTAACACAGTTCGTCACCAGTCTACTCTGAATGTGTTCGAAGAAAGAAAGAAGTCATGGAAATCATGGAATCCAAACTAGACACAGGCATTGACAGGTACTGTACTAGACACAGGCATTGACAGGTACTGTACTAGACACAGGCATTGACAGGTACTGTACTAGACACAGNGGTACTGTACTAGACACAGGCATTGACAGGTACTGTACTAGACACAGGCATTGACAGGTACTGTACTAGACACAGGCATTGACAGGTACTGTACTTTACCAGACATAGGCATTGACAGGTACTGTACTTTATCAGACAAAGGCATTGACAGGTACTGTACTTTACCAGACAAAGGCATTGACAGGTACTGTACTGTACCAGACACAGGCATTGACAGGTACTGTACTTTACCAAACAAAGGCATTGACAGGTACTGTACTTTACCAGACACAGGCATTGATAGTTACTATACTAGACACAGGCATTGATAGTTACTATACTAGACACAGGCATTGACAGTTACCATACTAGACACAGGCATTGATAGTTACTATACTAGACACAGGCATTGACAGTTACTATACTAGACACAGGCATTGACAGTTACTATACTAGACACAGGCATTGACAG